ATCTTTAAATATAGTTGTAGTGCTGGAAAAGCCATGTTTGGAAAGTGTGTGCCACTATCTGCCATAAAGTGTCGTTGTTGTCTTCTATCCCCGCCTATCCACTATTGGCCTCCACTGACAACCACAACAGCAGACAGCCAATTCAATTAAATCTCTGTCTGATTGGAGGGAACAGATCTGATTACCTCTCATAGAAGACACACACATGCACGCCACTCACACACTCAAAATACCGTTGTTTGTGCTCTAAAATTCCCCAGGGAAAGATATGAGAGTAAATGGCTTCGGTGATTGTGCCAGATAGACTGGATGTGTGCATAATATCCACACGAAGAAGATAATGTGTTTGCTAATCGCACACCAGAGACAAGCAAACACACATCCCCACACACACATACATGCACAAAGGCTAACAGCTGCACAGCTATAACCCTTAACCACTCTTTTCATGCAGTTGGCTGCCAGCTACAGTAGAAACACACTCCCACACATGCTCAGCCAAATCCCATTGTGGGAGCGTCGTGATTTTTCAGTTGCGATGACTGTTGACTGTGAGTGGTGACAGCAGCGGAAGTTATTATTACTTGTAATCATACTTGGAGCCAAATCACGAAAGACAGATACGCCTAAGAAAAATGTTTTATTTAAATGTAATGATGTTATTAACACAACGCCACAAATAGAAAATAAAGTTTTGTCTATTGGCCAGAATGAGCAGTTAGTCACAAAAATACAGTCAGTGTTGTTTACAAGAAGCATTTTAGGAGTTGCTTACAACCAAATGATTGCAAGTTACTTTTTTTCGTAGACCAACGAGAGTTAAAATGTACCAACATTGGGTTAGCTTGAAAAATGTATCCATAACCCTGAGAATGTCCAAAAATATTATTACAAAAATACGGGCACAATGCCAGCTTCATAGAGATATGCCAAAATCAACAGTTAATATAGAGAGCAGTATTTGTATCTATTAAAGCTTGCTGTTGCGTTTTATCAAAATGGAGCCACTGGAAAAAGAAGAACTTCATACATACTGCATCAACTGTGAATAAATCCTGCAGACATTTAAGTGTGTCTATACAACAGAACTCAATTAAAGGTCCCCCATTATACTGTTTTTCATCAATATATTATAGGTCTCAGATATATACAAAACATGTCTCTGAAGTGTTTGGCTCAAAATACCAAACAGATCAGGCATTGTAGCATCCCATAAACCCCTCTGTTTCAGCCCTGTTTCAAAAGTGCTGATTCTCTGTCTGTTACTTTAGATGAAAATAAGGAGCCCCTCCCCACGCCCCTCAGAGATATTTGGTTAAAAAGAACACAATGGTGCTCTAGGAGGAGATTTAGGTGATAAGGTGGGGGGGGGGGTTACCTTGGTTGGTTATTGGCTAATGGTTACACAAGCCAAAAAATCGTTATGACATCATAAAGTGGCCACAATCTGATCAGCTCATTTTCAGACAGGTTTTTATATAAATGGATCAGGACAAAAAGAGAGAGAATCTTTTTTCCTGAAACCTTCAGAATCTCTTTACACAGAGGGGACACATGTTTATGTATGAAATACATGAAAAAGTGGATTTTGCATAATAGGTCCCCTTTAAAGCACTGTAAAAATAAAACTCCACTGTCTCAGGTTGTTAGGAGACCAACACCATACCCAGTTTTGACTAGAGATCCTCTAGAGGGTTAAGCAAAAGCAGAGCATAAGTTCATTAAGCATGCTTTAACAGCTTTGGTGTAGTCTGTTACACTCGACAAAAAAGGCAGTGTTGTTGGAATCCTAAATTGTGATGTCTAAATGATTTGCTTGCACGGTGAAGAAAGTGAGAAATACGATTCAAAGATTCCCCCAGAGTAATGCGTCTGTGGTTCATCGTACTTCATTAGCAAGGTCGGCTCGGAGATGTAAAAGTTTTAAGTGGAGACAAAACTGTCTGCTGCTGTTAGGCTCAAATGTCAAACTGGCTCGCTGTTCTAATTTGACAAGCACATAAAAGTCTTTGCACTGGCAGACTGTCAACTCAATGTTTTATTGATCATGGAGAATCTCAAAATGTGTTTCCTTCCAAAAAACTCATGGCTATACTAATTAACAAACATCCACTCCAAACATATACTGCAGCCTTATCTCTTTGCATAACTTCAAGGTTGCAATACACAGACGGGCACACAAATTGCAATCTTGTAATAGGTGTCAGGCCCCCGAGCCATTACTTCTGAAAAACTGCTACATTTAAAGTCTGACTATTTCAGCTTTCTACAAAATGTCTAAATGATATAAACTGAAATAATTAGTTTTAACAACTCAAGAGTTTACAAATACCTGTGAATTGTGAAATGGTATGAAATATATATGCTTTTCTATAAAAGGGGTTTAACACCTATAAGGAAGTTAACCAGTGGTCTAAATTACAGCCGAACCGCTACATTAATATTGAAATATATATGGTTTGAAGGGTACATAAGTAGAGGAGGTGGGGGAGGAAGGAGGAGGGGGTGGAGAGAGAAAATTAGAGAGGGATAGAGAGGTGGACAGATGTAATCTTTCCGGATTTATTGAGGATTAATAAAGACTATTCTACTTCAAGAATAACGCCAGACTAATTTATTGTCAGAGGAAGCACAAAGCTGCATTTATTCACCTCAGGTCATGTAAATGCTAAAGTTCGAAGGTTATCTCGATCTTGTCATGGTGATTTAATAAAAACCTTCTCTTAGAAGAATGACCCCTGAGCTCACAAATGAAACACAATTGTGTGTACAAAAAAAACACACACACGTGCACTCACAGGCAAAGAGTCCCAGTCACACACCAGCTTTGATTAATGTGTGACACGCAGCAGTCCCATAGTCTCTTTCATTACATTCTTCACCACAGAACCGCGAAACAAAGGCCTGAGATTAAACAGCTCTGCTTCACATTGACTCATTAGTCTCTCTCACTCTCTCTCCCTGTGATCTGTGTCTCACTCATTCAGGGCAAGGTCATTTAGGAGTCAGAGCAGTGGGCGGAGGAGCAGGATGAGGAGGGAAAGTAAGGATATTAGAAAAGGAAAAGGACCATCCTGCAGGGATTCTCGCAACAGAGCTGCCATTTGCACCCTAATGATGATCAGCTATTTAGAGGATCTATTCTCATTCAAATCCAGGCACTCCCAAGAGATGAAAACTAGGGGCTGCACAGAAACAGAAACATGTGTGTGTTCTGTATGTACACGAGGATTTCAGGTCATACACATGAAGCACAATAACAAAAACCTTATCAAGGTTTCTTATTCCCAGTGCACGATTGTTGCCTGTGTGGGGTATATGATTGCATTTGACTTTCATCACCCCGCTGTGTGTGTGTGTGTGTGTGTGTGTGTGTGTGTGTGTGTGTGTGTGTGTGTGTGTGTGTGTGTGTGTGTGTGTGTGTGTGTGTGTGTGTGGCAAATACAAAGAAACAGAGAGGGGAGAGGGCAGAGAGGAGAAGCTGAAAAACCCTCAAGTCTAAATGCTGAAGGCAACCCATTCATCTTTCCTCTCATATGCTCTTCTGGGCTTCAATCCCAGTCCTAGTGTGTGTGTGTGTGTGTGTGTGTGTGTGTGTGTGTGTGTGTGTGTGTGTGTGTGTGTGTGTGTGTGTGTGTGTGTGTGTGTGTGTGTGTGTGTGTGTGTGTGTGTGTGTGTCTGTGTGTCTGTGTGTGTCTGCATCTCCCCACATATGGAGAGTAGTCTGAATGATGAACATGATCTCTATTGCAGCAGAACAATGGTGTTTCTAAATAGGACATGAGAGGCATTCAGCCTTCCCTCACACACTGTGTATGGGGGAACCTACGCTTGTTTGCAGGGTCTGAGGAGCACCAAGTGCAATGAGGCATCTGCTGCAGGTGATGATAGTGTGTGTGTGTGTGTGTGTGTGTGTGTGTGTGTGTGTGTGTGTGTGTGTGTGTGTGTGTGTGTGTGTGTGTGTATGTGTGTGTGTGTTTCTGTGCATCCATTAAGTGCCGCTCCCAACGGTGTCCAGAGTTTTTGCTACATCAATCAGATGCTTATTCAGAGATTGCTAGGCGTCGCTCTGGCAGTCGGGGCCCCCCCCCCCCAGCAGCTGGGTGATGGCTGCCAGCCCGGCCCCTGGCATCACCTCTGCTCCGAGACCACCCAGGCCTGCTCTCATACACCTGCTAGCTACCTGCCTCTGGAGCTTTACACACCTGGACGTGTTTGCTTCACACCAACCACAACATTCCTGCACCTGTTTGGTAGCAACCTCTACTGTACCGAGATACCCCCCCCCCACCTGTTAATTAGCTATGAACAACAGCCGGGCTGCATTATGTTGTCCAACCCAAATCAATCATTATTAAAGAGGAAGAGCAGCCGATAAAGGTATGTGTTTGTATATGCGTATTTTTTAACCAGCAATTAGGGTACAGGTTTAAAAAGTACTTATGTATAACCACCACATCCCCTGGTAGACCACCACACACACATTGACTGTAATACCCGTGATGTGCAAATATAAAACTTTGTGCAATATACATGCATGTGCAATATAACCTAAGCCTCGTGCAATTCACGCTTTATTTTTTCTTTCAATGTATTTAGAATCGGCAAACAGTACCAGCTAGGTCTTTATGGTATACTTCTTTTCTTAACACAGTATACTGCAACTTTTTTTTAACATGGTGTACTTGTTTTTTTACTTATTGTGTTTTTTATTATTAATAACGGGTGCATACTCAAAAAATGGTGTTGTTGTAATATGTAAGTCTCTCCTCTTTACTTTATCTGCACTAAACTTCTGCTGTTGTAATAAAGTACAATTCCCTGTTGTGGGATAAATAAAGGAATTCTGATTCTGCAGTTTTTCTAATATACTCTCAATAATGTTTTCTTCAGACAAATTACGTTATCTCAAAGAAAGTAAAGTAGTAGATGATAAGGGATGCCTTTAACTTTCACCTCAAGAATATCAATGCCTCAAAGTGTTCCAAGGATGTTCCTACCTTTCCTTCTGGAGTCCCGTCTGACGCTGCTGGGCCTGACCGCTGGCTGGAGCTCTGTCTCTGTTGACATCCTCAGGCTCCAACTGGCTAGACTCCGCTCGGCTCCGCTTGGCTCCGCTGGGCTCCGAGGGTCCAGTTCACAGCGTCGGTGCCGGCTGTCGGTGTGTGGGCGCCGGGTGGGTGCGTGAAGGCGCCAGGTGTGTGTGGGCACACAGGCTCATGGGAGAGGGATGGGCTTTAGCCCTGACACAACATCCCACACACACCCACAGAGAGCTGCAGAGAGGGAGAGGGAGAGAGAGGTTTGCTTCAGTCGGGGGTGTTTACTCTTGGCAGGCGAAACCTTGCAGGAGTTCTCAGACGGCATGAGAATGAGCTTGTTTCTGATCGGGGCCTTGAGTGGATGTTGCCCGTGGTAACAAACAGCGAGACATGACCTACACTTCCTGCTTCCTTTCAATAATGTTTGGCTACAAGGACACTACGTAAATAACATTCCCACTTCCTTCTTCAATCATGCAATCATGGTTTAAACAGGTTTAAAAAGCTAATAGTATACATTTTATCAAAGTTCTATACCAAAGAGTTTTGAACAACGATCAATCCGTCAACTGAAATTCTGGATAATTACAATCTTGTTGTTGTAGCCATCATTTATGTTGCTGTACTCAGTAAGGTGAATGCTGTAAAGTAATGAGAACAATTTGGGGGAAAAGAAACACAAGCAGTCAGACAATCTGACAGGTTGTAAACAAGCAAACAGTTTAGTCAAATATTTGAAAACAACCAAAAACCAAATGTTTCTGCAATTCAAATTGGACAGGATTTGTAAACTGCGATGGATGTAATTTGACCATTGACGTTTTTAATGTCTTAAATAATTGTTGCTAATAATGTACATCCATACAAGTAGCACCATCCCATGTTGTTGGGGCCTCCAATGTTAATATTATCAAAAGCAAGATAACCAAAATGTATAAGCCATGGTGGAAGTGTAATTCTCCTTTAACGCTGCTACCAAACTTGTTGCGCCTCCTGGGCCCGGTCCAGCGCCTGGTGGGCCCCTCTGGCCCCAGATTTCTATTCCTTCTTTGCCCATCTGCCACTACTTTATTCTGAAGTGTTGACTGGCAGCGACTACGACAACGAAGGAGCCAAAAACACTCAGATTCACACTCTTAACCCTTTGGGTGAATGCATGAAAACACACACATTAACATTCACACACAAATGCAGACAAGCTCCTTTCATACACAGACGCTGAAGTACAAAGACAGCAGGAGACAGCTGCACGGTGACGTGTATAATAACGAATCTGACTACCTTCTGAGCTGCTTTCCACCTCTCCTTGTACTATCAGTCTTGACCTCTCTCTCTCTCTCCCTCTCCATCTAACAGTGACTGAGTGCAGACTTGAACAAAACGAAAAGATTGGTACTTCTTGGGAAAGGGGGAAATCTCCCTTTTTCTCTTCCCCCCCTCTCCACGGTGTTTCTGTGTGAATAGGAGGCCCCTGTGAGCCTCGAGCGAGAACAGATAAATTGAGAGGCTTTTAATTTGCTGCAGACAGAACAGAACAGAGTCCATTTAATTCTGCCAGCAGAGGCCATGTCGGCAAAATGCTGACAATATTCTTTATCTGGTCCAAACACACTGGAAAAGTGTGAGTCACTCCAATTACAGGCATTATCAGCAGCACTGTTCCACCAAATGGATGGAGGGAGAGTAGGAGAGAGAGAGAGAGTGGGTATAAAGAGAGAGGGGTTAGAGGGAAGAGAAATGAACAGAGTGGGAAGAAAGTGAGGGGAGAGGGAACACAGAGAGGGTGAGCAGATAATGAGCAGGGGGTAAAAGGGGTGAGAAAAAAGCCCAAGGAAGCAAAATCAGAAGAGAAAGGATGGAGTTTGAACGGCTTCAGCTCCGACCCTGAACACGTCCCCCTCTGTCCCCCTCTGTCCCCCTCTGTCCTTTTTGTTCTCTGAATTTGTTCTTCTGGCTGTGAAGTCTTTCAGGCAGCATCTGGAGCTTGTGTTTAAGAAAGGCAGTTTGTTAATCCTCAACTTGGATCAGAAAGCCCCCTACCCCAACTCCTTTTACACAATAATTACATTTTTTATTCAACTACAAAACAAAAGATTTAAAGACATGTTCCGCTGGTTGTACTTTGAGTGTACGATTACAAAATAAATCACGAAACACTTTTAAGATTAGTTTATATTCTGACTGTACAAATACACCGTTGAGAGCACCACCCCTCACTAAGTGAAGAAGTTCAACTCAGCCAACCATTGCAAGCAAAGCCAACCAGTCTGCCGGTGGAAATGAGACTTTGAGACTGAAAATGAAAAACCGTCTGCAGCATCCCTCTCCAGACTTCTCTAAGGCTCCAGACATAAGGTTGTTTCTCCGGAGAGTCGGGGAATAGTTCTACATCTAAGCTACAGTCCCTGGAGGGCAGAACAAGCACATTTCCCCCAAAAAAGCATATGTGCAGCTTCAACTGTACAAATTCTCTGCCTCTTACACACACAGACAACATGAAAGAAAGAGCAGCGCAAATCAAAAGCCATCGTGAACACTGTAGTGGCGGTTTGACCTGGAATCAGCGCGCGAGCTAAAAGTAGCAGCAGAGAAGGATGTGAACACGGCTTAGTGTGTCTGGATTTAGACAGAAATCTGAAGCCATACCAGAGACTGGAGGAAAGGAGGCGAAGGGAGCAGGCAGTAAATTGGTCGTCCGTAAATGGGGCGCTGCCAAACAGGCGCGAGTGGGTGATGTGAGGATCGGGCTGTGTGTGTGTGTGTGTGTGTGTGACTCAATAAACAGGATGCTGCCAACAGGAGCTTAAGGCCCAGAAATCATCTGCAGCTACAATAAAGTCCGCCAGGCAAAAGGAAAGAAAAAAGAAAGAAAAAAGATGGTGGAGGGGGGGTTTGCTGGCACTCTCGCCTCCCCTCTTTCTCCCACCTCCCACTCTCAGGGTAATTGTGTTCTGTCCATCAGGCTCAGAGTTAGATTAGCAGCTCCACTCATTCAGCTCCACTGCCATCTCAATAATAAATAATCATCATAGAGACCACCTTTACGCTACGTTCCTCACTACCTGTGTTATGTCCATCTTCTGCTTCCCCCCCCCCCCCCCCCCCACCACCACCACCACCCTCCTCTCGCTCCTTCCACCCCACCAAAAACCACCTTTGTATCCTGACACCAATGCAGAGTCCTTATCAGCGACACATTTCTTCTCTGAGCTGCACTCGTTGATGAATAACCACGACTGCGGGTATGAAAGGTTATCCGTGTTACAGTCTGTCACGGTTCAGATGTCTGAATGGTAAATGAACAATCTCTCTCTAGACTACATTACCAGTCAGACACAGTGAAATGCTCCTAGTTTTAGGCACCGTAATGATTTAAAACATGAAAAGTCAACTGGGTTACTGCACTAGAAAACCAGAGAACATTTTTTATCAAGGCAAAAAAAAACAACAAAGGTGAACATCGACAGCCAAGAACATGAAAAGTAGACCTACCAGTTTATGATATGTAGAATGTAAAATACAGTGTCCTCTCAACTTCGGTATTTTACCAACAGAAGTGAAGAAAGAAAGAGAGCGTCAAACGGCGTAAAGGTTGAAAATCAACTGAAGAAGTCAGAGGACAAAAGGGAGTAAGAGCTAAAGGACTGCTTTTGTGTGTGTGTGCAAGAGAAAAAGACAGAGAGAGTGAGAGAGGTAGGAAGATATGGGAACAAGAAAGTACCTGAGAAAATGAGCTGAGGGTTAAAGTTCAGTGTCACACCCAGATAGCTGCTGTATATCAATTGACTGTATACCTGGCCAACAACAAATGAAGTCATTCATCCCATGTCACACTTATGATGACATTAGCAGTAGGGATGTCCCGATCACCTTTTTTTGCTCCCGATCCGATTCCGATCATTTGATTTTGACAATCTGCCGATACCGATTTTTCCCGATCCGATCTTTATGCAATGCATTAAGAGAAAAAAAAGATAACAGATAACGGCTGGTCATCCAACGCGATGAATTCAGCTATCTTGGCTGTTATTTTTTTGGCCTTTTCACTGTTCTGGGGTAGTTTCTCTTTCCTTTTAAAAGTCTGTGAAAGTGTCGGTTGTTTCAGTGCCATTACCTGAGTGACCGCTGTGTACTCGTCGTGTTGTTGTTGGTGTTTGTATTAGATTGGTCGTGTTGAACGTAGCTCTGTTCTTTCCACCACGCGGAACCTCCGCCTTGCAAACATTGCATCTGGCTGTTACACTGCCTTCGCTTTCAATTTTATAATACTTCCAAACTCCTGACATTTTCTCTGTCCCGACTCCCGAGGCACCAGCTGAACGTAGCCTCTTGTTAGCTTACTGCTACTATTAGACACTGCGCCCACTCTGTTGCCAGATTTGAGAGAAATAAGCAACCAGGTCTATGAAAACAAGCCCAAAAGAAGCAACACATACATGATGTTGTGTAATTTTAAACCAAAACTAAGGCCTCAGGATGACTTTAAGACGTGAACATGGTCATTTTTGTTTTGTAACATTAAATAAAATGTATAAAAATATTTTATTTAAAAAAAAAAAAAAAAAAAAAAAAAAAATTCCGATCCCCAATTTTTTTCTCCCGATTCCGATCTTTTGAAAATCACGTGATCGGCTCCGATCCCCGATCACGTGATCGGATCGGGACATCCCTAATTAGCAGAGATCAAAGTGTTATTGATAGATGGTGACGGATACAACCGGAATACATTTTGGTATTTGAATCCTAAAATAAATTACCTGTCATTCTTCAAAAGATTAACAAACGAATTCCAAGGCAAAACCATTTGTTCTCAATGGGCAATACAATGAAATAGGAGAGACAATCCCAGCTGAGAAGGCTGTGGCCAAATGTCCAAAGTCCTACTGGTCTTTATTGAAACTATGGGTTACAGGTGAGCCATGTGTACTCCCTGTTTATTGTAAGCTGATGAAGAGTTGGCTGACTGGTTTTGATGGTCATCATAAAATCATCATGGTAAAAGAAGAAATGGTGACATGATCTGGTTAAATGAGGTCCTGGCACTTGTTGCACATTGAACTTGCCATCTTATCTGCTAACATGTTCTTAATTGATCCATTTCTCAACAGTGATTTCTCAGTAATGAAGTAATGATTAACACCTGCACCTTTATCACCAACATATAATGAATAGCATGAAGTTAACATGGCAGGTATGGCCGTTGATTAGGAAGCTGAATCTAGGAAAGGATCAAA